AAAGAGGCGCGCCCTCCCCCTCCTCCCCCTCCCCCTCCTCCTCCTCCTCCTCCTCGTCCTCCTCCTCCTCGTCCTCCTCCTCGTCCTCCTCCTCCTCCTCCTCCTCGCGCGCGCGCGCGCTGCGCGCCCCGGGGGATCGAAAGGGGCGCGCCGCGGCGCCGTCGGGGCCTCCCCTGGGCTCGAGGCCTGCGAGGTCGGGGTCCGGGCAGGCGGGGTCGGAGCGCCGCGCCGCAGCGCCGGGGTGCGGTCGGCCCGCACGGCGAGGTTGCCTGGGTTCATTACCTTCCCCCTGGTGCCGGCCTTGTCTCACGACTTTTGCTGGCACTGCGTGTGGCTCACTTGCTTGGGTCAGGGGCGCTCGCCCGCAAGCATTTGAGTTTTACCCCCCGAGCTCCACGGCTAGTCGAGGCTGGTCTCACGAACCCACGACAAGTTCGTGTGACCCGAGTGTATTGCAGGTAGGTTCAACTCCGTGTGAGTCAAAAAAAAAGGTGGCCCTGCATGCTCGCAAGGTTAGCCTTGCCAGCTTACCCTTGCAAGGCTACCCTGTGCGAGGTTATCAAGGTGACCCTCAGGGTCAGCAACTTTCCAAGGTTCCCCTGGCATCCTTCCCCTTCGGCCGATCCTTGGCCGCTTTCGCTGGCCGCGCCCCGCTCGCAAAGTGTCGACATGGTTTTCCAAGGCCATCCTTATCGTGCGTCCCCGTTATACGGGTTGACTGTATCGGCGATGCATTAGCGATGCGACAAGATCCTCCGACCCCATCTATTTCGACCCCAGTTAGAAGGCCTCCAACTGCGTGCCCCGGGGGTCGAAATTCGTGCCACCGCTCCTTCGGGCACCCGGAAGCGGTGTGGAACCCACAGCGTGTGGTGAGTCAGTGGAGATTCGGTGTGGCCGCACGGTTTGGGGACTCGGGTCGTTCTCCGATGATCTGGGGCCCCCAAACGGTGCGGTGACCACAGGTGAGTTAGTGGAGATTCGGGGTCACCGCATGGTTTTGGGGTTTTGGGACTCGGGTCGCTCTTCGAGGGCGTCTCGGGCGATCTGGGGCCTCTAGGGTCCCAAGATCGTGCGGTGACGGACCGTGCGGTGGGGTCGTTGGGGAGTCCGAGGTCACCGCACGGTCTGTCACAACACCGTCTTGGGATCCCCAAGGTGACCAGGGTCCGAGATCCGCACGGTGACGGACCGTGCATAGAAACCACAACACTCGCAGGGCCAGAAAGAAAGCTTACGCTGCAGTATCATACGGTGACTCTCGCGCGCCCAACCCCCGGCGAGGTGCAGCAATCCCCCCAGGGGAAAGAGAAACATAAACAACATTACAATGCTAGGTGATCGGTTCGCATCTTTTTCCTGAGTCGTCGAGGCATCTTTTTCCTGAGTCGTCGAGACATTCGAGGCATCTTTTTCCTGAGTCGTCGAGACGATGAGCAGAGTTGAACATAGCGACTGCAGACGGGGGAGGTCTGAGAGAACGGCCCCCATCCGTACTCCGCACGTTCCTTTGTCTGGATCGCGTCCAGGCTGGACCGCAGTCGTCTATGTCAAGCTAGCCAAGCTTGACGTTCAGCACGAAGGACCTCGAAGATACGGGTCTCGGCGATCTGGGCTCGTCGCGCCGCTTCCGACGCTAGCTCGCCCGCCACAGAATTTCCCCCGGCATGCGAGAGAGGTATCCCGAGGGAGTAGCAGCACTGGCTGAGAGACGGAAGTTTATGAACATCATAAACACTTGACCGAAACGCTCCTGGACCAGGGGGTGAATCCTTAACCAGAGGTCAGCATCGGGTCCCGCAGGGAATCGAACCGTGACGCATAACATCTAGTGATGATCGCTCCGTTGTCTGTGACATAGCACAGGTGCCCTGTCGAAGCTCTGAGTCTCAGTTCAGATGCAACGAACTCACCTCGTGCAGCTGTCTGCTGCTCGCCAGGAAGCGGCCCTGAAATATACGCAGGACTTTTGGCATATTCTAGTTTACAGATGGGTGCAGCAGACAGCTCGTAGCGGCGAAGGCGCGGGCCCCGTTTATATTTGCCTCCTCCACTGCAACCCTCGAACAACATCAGAGGTGATGCAAACGTGCCCGAACCCAAGGCCCCAGGAACACATCATTACATCCCGCACACCACCAGGTCCTCGTCCAGTGGGGGGGAGCTCAGCAGCGGAAGCGGGAAGCAGCTCCCTGATCCACAGGGTTCAGAATCATACCGGGTGTAAGCTTCGGCGGTGAGGTTTGATGACTCCTGATAAGCATCACCTTCACTGGCTTCGCACTTCCACGTCCGATGAAGACAGTCTCAGGCGCCTTGAACACCGTGGGCAACGATCGTCCTCAGCTGGATCGATCACTGTCTAATCGTGGCTCTTGGCCAAGTCCCCCCGACAGCACTGGAGTTCATGCTACGATATGAGGATTTGTCAACCCCGCCGTCCACGCCCCCAGCACACCAATGCTCCGAACCATTACGCCAACGCCTCAGCCGCATCGGATCCGCAAAGCCTTCCAGGAGTGGGGCTGGGGAATCCTGATTCTGATTTCCAGACAAAACCCCTCTCGGGGAACCTCCAGGCTTCCAGATCACCAGGGTACTCCGAGGAAACAGCCCACGAATCAGGTCCTTGAGGGCCCCAGCTCGCTTCAGGAAAGCATACCACAACATCGCCTGTAGGTCCGCGGCCGTGCCGCGATCGCTGCCCTGGCGCCGCCGAGCGGAATCGTTCTAACAGAGCTGGCCAGGCGCGGCGCATGTTCGGACGAATGCTAGGGGTAGTTAACCGTTGTCGGAGCCAACATCCAACGCATGCTACGGGACGAAGATGATGATGATGATGATGATGATGATGATGATGATGATGATGATGATGATGATGATGATGGTGCTGCTGCTGATGATGATGATGACGATGCTGATGATGATGCTGATAATGATGCTGATGATGATGGTGATGACGTTAATGATGGCGATGGCGATGCTGATGATGATGCTGATGCTGATGCCGATAATGATGATGTGGCTGCTGCTGATGATGCTGATGAGAATGGTGATGGTGATGATGATGCTGATGCTTCTGTTGATGCTGATGCTGGCGATGATGCTGGTGCCGATGCTGCTAATGCTAATGCTGACGATGCTGCTGATGATGCTGCTGCTGCTGATGCTGATGATGATGCTGATGCGGATGATGCTGGTGATGAATGTCATGATGAAGCAGCTGATGATGGCAATGCTGATAGTGCTGATACTAATGCTGATGCTGATGCTCATGCTGCTGCTGCTGATGCTGATGATGATGGTGCTGCTGCTGATGATGATGATCATGATGTTGATGGTATGTGTAATGATGATGCTGATGATGATGCTCCTGCTGCTGATGATGATGACGAGGATGCGGATGACGATGCTGACAATGCTGATGATGCTGGTGATGATGATACTGATAATGCTGATCATGGCGATGCTGGCGATGGCGACGGTGCTGCTGCTGATGACGTTGGCGCTGCTGATGATGATGCTGATGATGATGATGATGATGCTGATGCCGACGCTGCTGCTGCTGCTGATGATGATACTGGTAGCGATGCTGATGATGATGCCGCTGATGCTAATGATGATGACGATGATGATGATGCGGATGCTGATGCTGATGATGCTGATGATGATGATGCTTATGATGATGATGATGATGATGATGATGATGATGATGATGATGATGATGATGATGATGATGATGATGATGATGATGATGATGATGATGATGATGCTGCTGATGATGATGATGATGATGATAATGCTGATGATGATGCGGCTGATGATGCTGATGCTGATCCTGACGATTCTGACGATGCTGTTGATGAAAACGGATGATGGTGATGATGCCGACGACGATGATGCTGATGCCGCTGCTGCTGCTGCTGATGATGATGATGATGATGATGATGATGGCGTTGCTGCAGCTGAGCCTGATGTGGATGATGATGATGCTGATGATGATGACGCTGATGATGATACTGATGATTGTGATGATGATGCTGATGGTGTTGCTGATGCTGATGATGCTGAGGTTGATGAGGATGCTCATGCTGGCGATGCTGATGGTGCTGATACCGGTGATGATGGCGATGGTGATGCTGATGCTGATGACGATGCTGATGATGCTTATGATGGAGATGATGGCGATGGCGATGGCGCTGCTGCTGATGAGGATGGTGCTGCTGCTGATGATGATGATGCTGATGATGATGCTGATGCTGATGCTGCTGCTGATGATGAGGATGCTGACGATCATGATTACATGATAGCGATGCTGATGATGCTGCTGCTGCTGATGATGTCGCTGATGATGATGCTGATGATGATGATGATTCTGATGACGATGATGCTGATGATGATGCTGATGCTGCTAATGATGATGCTGATGCTGGTGCTGATGCTGATGCTGACGTCGATGTTCATGCTGATGATGAAGCTGATGCTGCTGATGATGATGCTGCTGATGATGCTGATGATGCTGCTGCTGATGATGATGCCGATGATGGTGATGATGATGCTGATGATGCTGATGCTGCCGATGATACTAATCATGATGATGATGCTGACGACGACGATGCTGATGAGGATGATGATGACGATGACGATCAGGACGATGATGAGGATGAGGATTAGGATGAGGACGATGCTTCTGGTGATGATGATGATGATGATGATGATGATGATGATGATGATGATGATGATGACAAGGATGATGATGAGGATGGCCATGACGTGGATTTTTGTAATGACGATACTGATGATGCTGATGATGATGATGATGATGGTGATGATGATGATGATGATAATGCTGATGATGATGCGACTCACGATGCTGATGCTCATGCTGATGCTGCTGCTGCTGATGATGATGATGATGTTGATGAGGATGAGGATGAGGATGCGGATGATAATACTGACGATGATGAGGATGAGGATGAAGGCGAGGATGATGACGATGA